CTGTTGGGATTTTACGGAGGCTTCCTCATGTAGGCATGATCGGTTATTAACTCCATTCCCAGCCCCGCTCTCCTCTCTGGAGAATGGGGGTGAGGCAGAAAAGGCCAATCTTCTCAGCATCCTTCCATCTTTCTCAGGACAAGCCCCCACCCAGGAGCCCACCCAGAGCTGCCTTATCAGGACAAAAGATGTTTCCAGTGCTCTTATCAGATAGGAATTTATAAGGGTTTTAGGAGCTCTGGGCCAGGAACTGGGGGAAGAGACCGATATACATATATGTTTTGCACTCATGCATCTGACGACATACGAGTCCAGTCTCTACGCCTTTATTTGTGCTGCTTCCCACCTAGCATGCCTACTTCTCGCTTTTCTGCTCCTTTACTTCTCTTCCATTTTCACGACCACAGGGGTGTTCCACACTTTCTGCGAACCTGGCCTGGGCACCAGAGGCCCCATAGCGGTGGGTTTCTATGGTTGATTTCTCCCAGCATTTCATGTGTGGAAGCTCATGGCGGGCAGAGCCTGCTCGGGTTCTTTCACGTGCCCAGGACCAGGCTCACGCAGCACTTGGTCATTTTTTTTATTGAGTGATTATTGTTTGTTTTAGTACTCAGAGAGAAACTTCCCATGTCTAGCTTTCTGAAGATGAAAGACTTTATTTTGATTTTCTCAGAAGGAAAAGAAATAAACCCTGGAATAGCTACAGTTTTATATAGAAAGCATTACTTCTGAGCTAAATGATTCTTTTTTTCCTGAAGGGAAATTTAGAAATTGTAGCTCCTAGTGGAATTAGAGGGATGGTAATGAAGTCATGCACAGATTCACAGCATCTGAAGGACTCTGTTTTGAACCCTTATTTTCCCCACATCTACAGCGTGCTATAAAAAATTCATCCGCCCGGGCCCAGTCCAGCGTGGCAGTAACATGTGTCCCTTGGGCTTCTCACCAAATTGCGCTTTCTCTTAGATGCAGTCAGTGATTTGCCTTGGAATGAATTAGCTTTTCTGAGACTCCTCTACCACCTGATTCTCCTGGTCCTTTGCTAGATGTTTCTTATTGATGTTTCTTTCTCTCTCTTGAAAATCAACAAATATGTTGATTGCCTTTGATTTCCAACCAAAACGGTCTCACAGATCATTTGGAAACTGAGGTGACAGGGAAATGCTCCCCCTCAATCCCTCGTAACCCCTCCCATCATGCCAAGCCCCCCCTTCCCCCATCCTATCTCCTGTGGCAGACATTGAAGTATTCTCTCAGAACCACACCTCTTTGATCTTCTGGCCCTTCAGCCTCAAGGCGGGTCCCTGTTGGTTCAGAAGCTTTTTGCTGAACTCTGAATGGATGACATGATTCAGAGTTAAAGAATGTGGAACGTGTGTATGTGCATCTGTGTGCGTGCTTGTGTGTAAACCAGTGTGCGTCTGCTGACGTGCCCTGTGAATCTGAGTGTGTGTGTGTGTGTGTGTGTGTGTGTGTGTGTGGCATAGCTGAGTGTGGATGCCAGGTGCTGGTGATGGCTTTAACCAGAAGGCATGGCAGTGGGCAGGCATAGGGATGATGTGTGTAGGAGTACCCCCGCCCCCTTGGTGTTCATGATCTCTTTGCTCCCTGCGATACACCTTATTTGTTTGGGAGTGGGGCATCTGTTGAAATAAGTTTAAACATCATCATGTACCCACATAACCTGTTTCTCACTCATCATGTCTCCCTCTCTATGTTTTGAGAGTTATGGGTTATAACTCAAATCAATGAACCTTTTTTTAGTACCTATTGTATCCAATTCTTTTTATTTATTTATTTATTTTTATTTTTATTTAAAAATTTATTGACTGATTAAGGTATCACATATTTGTCCTCATTCCCCCATTCCCATCCCAATTTTCTCCCAATGGATACTCCCACCCCCCCTGATGTCCATGACCACTGGTTAAGCTTATATGCATGCATACAAGTCTTTTAGTTGATCTCTTCTCCTTCCCCCCACCCTCCTCTACCTTCCCTCTGAGGTTTGACTGTACCAAGTTCTCCATTCATGCCTGCTGCCTGGTCTTCTGCAAGATGTCTTCATGGTAGCCTTTCCCCTGGCCCGGACCTTACCCAGTTCCTACCCATTCTGCACCTCCTATGGCCAGGAACCATCTCCCAACTATTCTGGCCACTGTCTCGTGGGTCCCAAATGCTTGTTGGCCTGGGAAAGGACTGTTCCTCAGAATCACTTGAAGGTTTTTAGAAAATTCAAATGTGTTGCTTGGCCCCTGCTCTGCATAATCTGATCGGTGGGTATGGGGTGGGACCTGGGCAGCTTCCAGCAAGTGAGTGTCAAGTGAAGAGGTAGTGTTAAAACTAGACCCTTGCCTCCCTTTTTATACCTCAGTAAGGGTCCAAGGAGGGGGGAACTCCATGTGATTCATAATCTCAGGGACCAAATGATGTGCTGGGGGAGGGCATGTGGGGGAAGGGGATCACAAAGTATAGGTACACAATTATAAGATAAATAAGCCCTGGGATGTAATGTACTGCATGGGGGCTACAGTTTAATAACACCGTATAGTGTGTTTGAAAGTTGCTGAGAGAGATCTGAAAAGTCTTCATCATAAGAAAAACATCCTGAAATTATGTTTGATGATGTATGTGAACTAAACTTACTGTGGTGATCCTTTCACTCTATATATCAAACCATTATGTTGGGCATGTAAAGCTAATACAGTGGTATTTGTTAATGACAGTGTAATTAAAAAGAAAAGAATTCCATGTTGCATTTGGTAGAATGGCTCACCTATTGGTGAAGGGGGCCTCTCAGCGAGTCCGGCTAGCTGTGGTTTTCCTGGCATTAAAGGTTACGTGTGGTCTGGAGAGGCAGGATCCGGATGCTGTGGCTTGCCTGGTTCTCGCCCTCCTGGTTGGCTCTGGGAGTGGGTGTGATCACTGTGTTGCAACATTCATACCATTCTATTTTTTTAGTTTAATTTCATTTTGGTTTATTAGTAGTAAAATCCCCGCTGGCATGCCGTTTAATTTGCTCCCGGTGCTAATGATCATTCTGAAGCCTTTTAGGGAAATGATTATATGGTAATACCAAACCTGACGGTGGACTCGAGCTGTCCTTTACAGTAATGGGAACATAACAGAGCCCCCGGGTAGTCCTTCTTGTAATGCCGTGGGGACAGGGCGGGGATCTGCTTGGCTTCCTTCCATGTTTTCCTCACTCGGGCCCTCCTAGAGAAAAAGGCCTTTTCTGACTCTGAGGCTGAGCCTCTGGACAAAAGAAAGGGCTGCAAAGCAGCAGTCCTCTGGGGGAGTAAGGGGGGCTGGCCAGGGGGCAGCTGCCAGTGGGACAGCTCACGAACAGGATGGGATCAGCGGAAGTGGAGACCACCGGCGACAGCTACACCTTTCCGCATTCACGCCCACATCTGTGTGAGCAGGCACATGTGGGTGGGATGTTCAGAGGAGGGTCAGGGTGTGGGCCTGCCTTCTAGCTCCAGGGCCTTCTCCCTGGTACCTATGTGCAATGTGAGCCCCATGGAGCCGGCACGGGGACAGAATAAAGGCGACACCATCTTTGCCTAGAGACGGGGGACACGGAGAGCTCCTGAGTACCATGGGCAGGAATACCTGAAGCCTGTCTCTTTGGGAGAAGGGGTGGGGTGGAGGGACATGTCACCCCCACCTGGAGAATCAGCCTGGAAGAAGTGGTTGGAGAGGATCAGAAATGGGGTGCGCTCTAGAAAAAGGGTCATTCCAGGCAAATGGGGCTTTGTCAGGAAGGAGACACAGGAGGCTCCCTAATTGGTTTGGCTCAGTGGATAGAGCATCAGCCCATGGACTAAAGGGTCCCAAATTTGATTCTGGTCAAGGGCATGTACCTTGGCTGTGGGCTCAATCCCCAGTAGGGGGCGTGCAGGAGGCAGTTGATAGAAGTTTCTCTCGTGTCAATGTTTCTCACTCTATCCTCCTCTCTTTCTCACTGTAAAATCAATAAAATGTACTTTTTTAAAAAAAGGAAGCGTTAGGGGCTTCCTATTGTCTGAAGGGCCAGGACAAGCTCAGGGAGACTGTAGCTGACGTGTGACTCTGCCGTGCTTTCGGTGTCTTGCCTCAAAACCCCACAGGGGCGCCTCAGCCCAGCTCAGGGGGGCCTGCTCCTCTTCCGCTCTGGGGCCCGAAGGAGGAGAGCGGGAGAAGAGGGGGCGTTCTCAGTCTTTGTGACTCAGAGGCGGACCTCCGACCGTGGGATTCAAGTTATGGAAAGGCAAGTTCAGGCCCAATACTTGGGGAAAACGTTCTAACAGTGTGGCTGCTTAATATTGAAACAGACTCCCTGGTGAGGCAATGAGCTCCCTGCCCATCAGAGACTTGTCCAAACACTGGAAGCGGCTTAGACCGGCATTAGAACCCACACCCAGGCCGATACCGGTTTGGCTCAGTGGATAGAGCATCTGTCTGCAGACTTAAGGGTCTCAGGTTAGATTCCGGTCAAGGGCATGTACATTGGTTGCAGGCACATCCCCAGTAGGGGGTGTGCAGGAGGCAGCTGATCAGTGTTTCTCTCTCATGGATGTTTTAAGCTCTTTATCTCTCTCCCTTCCTCTCTCTAAGAAAATCAATAAAATATATTAAAAAAAAAAAGAAAGAAAAAGAAAAAGAATGCATATCCAGGGCCTGGCTCACAGAGCGCCCTTTGCACCACTGGCAGCCCGGCGGTGCTGCTGCCAGGACACCACAGAATTCTGAATTTGTGACCACACATGAGCTAAAGGCGCCGTGGAGACTTGATGACTATTTTGTGTCTTTGTGTCATAATAATGACCAGTGAGGCACTGCATCAGGCATTTCCTTTTCTTAGTTTTTAGAAGACTCCTGCTGAAACAGCTCTGGTTCTGGAACATGATTTGCAGCCTCATGGAGGGATGTGGTGAGAAAATACATATACATATGTGTGTGCCTATATGTCTATCGTGCGGTGTGTCTCTGATGCTGCCACCTGCTCCGTGGGGGGCTCAGAAGCGCTTCTGGAGGGCAGACTGGATATTCTTCAGCAGGCCCCACTTCGCTCGGTTCTTCCCGTGCCCGTCGGGGGTCTGCACCTGCAAGCAGAAGCCGAGAGCCATGGCGTCAGGCACCGGGAAACTGTGCGCAGGATCTATGCGCATCATTTCATTAATAACTCACGGCAATCACATGAGGCAGATGCCACTGACTCCATTTTATAGATGAAGAAACAGGCTTCAAAGGATTAGGTAGCTCTTTTCTAAAGCCCCACAACTAATTTGTGGTGGGATTGGAATTGTACAGACTAGGTTACATGTTCTTTAAGGAACCTCGTGTGAATGGGAGCTGATGATAGTGTTGGGGCTGTGAGCCCAGCCCAGCCCCTCTGGGTCTTCTGTAGCTCCTGGGACAGAGGATAAACCAGAACCAGGATTTTCGGAAAGCCAGGTAAGATGCCCAGGAAGGCTAGGAGACCCTGATTTATGGCTGGGTTCCATCCCGAAGGCAGCAAGCAGGGAGGGTGCAGCCCTGCAGAGACTCAGGGTACCAGCACAAGTCAGGCACAGGGTGGGGTGTGGGAACTCCAGTACAGACAGAGAAGGAATTTGAGAGGATGGGTGGGGGTGCCCATAATAACCTGCCCTGCAGCTGATTATGGTGGCACATTTCCTGAAGAAAGACCCAGAACAGTGCCTTTGTTGTTGTTGGGTCTGAATTTTTACCTCGAGATCTGATGTAACTTGGGTCATCTGATTTACAGATTTGTGGTAGGCAGAATAATGTCCCCGAAAAATGTCCGTGTCCCAATCCCGGGAACATGTGACTGTGTTATGTTACATGGCAAAGGGGAATTAAGTTGGTAGTCAGCTGGCCTTTCGATAGGGAGATTATTCTGGATCATCAGGTGGGTTCAAGGCAAACGAGAACCAGAGAGATGGCAGGGTGAGAAGGACTCGGCCTAACGGTGCTGTCTTTGAAAATGGAGGCAGGGCCCTTGGACCAAGGAATGTGGGAGATTGCTGGAAGCTGGAAAAAGCAAGAGAATGGATTTTCTCTTAGAGCCTCCAGAAGGAATACAGCCCTGATGACACCTTGATTTTATCCCAAAAAGGCCCATTTTGGATTTCTGATCTCCAGGCTGTCAGAAGACAAATGCATTTATGTTGTTTTAGCCACTAATTTGTTTCAGCAGCAACAGGAAACCAGTGCATAGATGGAAAGTTACCTTTGTCCTGGGGAGACTTCTTGGAAGTTGGCTGTGATTTGAAGTCAGAGGGAGACAGGCAGAGTAAGGAGACTATTTCCAGAAATGGGGATGGTGGTCAGCAGGGACATTGAGGATGAGAGAGAGAGCAGGAGGAGAAACTGAGGCCAAAGGGTAGAGGACTTGCCTACAAACAAATTTCCCCATTCCTTCAAAAATATCAGTCAGGGTCTTGGATGTTAGAAGCTCAGAGCTGGAACTGTGGGCCCAGAGGGGTGAGTCAGGCCAACATGGGGCCTGGCCTCACAGCACTGGCAGTGTTCAATGTTCTTTCTAATGATGTTATCAACTCTCAGAGAAATAAAAGTCTGGCTCTCGTTGCTGTTGGCTTCGATGACATTCTCCCAGAATGAGGTGCCAGGTCCCCAGGGCGGAGCCTGCCCTGCAGCTGATTATGGTTTGTGGGGGCAACGCGCTATTGCCGTGGAGGAGACCTAGCTTCCCACTCCATTCCTTTGAGTTACCTGAAGCCAGACACTCTGTGAGCCTCGGTTTCTTTATCTGTAAAATGGAGGCTGTAATTCCCCACCTGCCAAGTGGTTGAGAAGATCAGTGATAGACAGTGTCTGACACGGCGTTGCCTTCAATAAATGGCACCTTCAAAAAGTGTCCAAGTTAATTTTTCATGCTTCACGTGCCACCCTTCAAATAAAATCCCTTAAAAAAAAATCAACCAGCCCCAGACTATGAAAATCAAATACAAAAGGTGCTGTTTCACTTCCTTTACAAAAGTACATCTGATAGAAATATTGCATTTCAGAGAAGCCATGATTCTGCTGCCTCGTTACATCATTTTAAATGGAACCTTTCAGGAAATACCTGCACTGAACGGATGCCGAAGGAAAAATATTTCGATTTTATAGGAAAGGCCTGCAGTCATTACTTTTATGAAGCTTTATAAATGTCATTCAAACACGCCATCTTATTTTCATTTGCCATTGAAGCCTTTACTTATGCAAATCATGACAAATGTTAAGGAAGCCAGTTGTTCCCCTGGAATGCTAATACAATCACAGAGACGGGGAGGAATTACTTCTGAAGGAAAAATCTATACCGTAGCTCTGTGACTCTGGTAAAAATGAAGCCTCCAGAAAACCTCATTAATTAGTGCTCTGCTCATTTAGAAATTGTGTTAAAAAGCAAAAAGGATTGCAGTGAGTTTTCTTCCCAGGCACGGAGGGCGGATTAATCACACAAACACCATTTCAGGGGGGAGCGTCAGTCTTGACTGATTGAATAAGACACGTAGGAGCTTTCAGGCGGCTTTTGCTACTTTGTAATTATTAATTTTGCCCATCCATTTATTCCTTCACTCTTTAATTTAGACATTCATTCGTATGTCCATTTGTTTGCTCACATTTCACTCATGTATCGCTCAATAACCATTAAGAGCCTGCTGGGCACAGTGCTGTGGTAAGCATTGTGGGAGAAAGAAAGATGAACCAGACATGACTTCTGTTCTCAAGGAGTTCAAGGGGGATGGCAAAACATCTACTGAAAGCCAACATACCCCAGTCTTCCAGCCCCATCTCTGTCCCTAGCATCTAAAGAGGACAAAGCATCCCTGACTCCATTGGTTGAGCTTTGTCCCATGTCCCTTGGTTCAATTCCCAGTCAGGGCACATGCCCGGATTGCATGTTTGATCCCCAGTAGCGGGTATGCAGGAGGCTGTTGGTAGATGGTTTCTTATTGATGTTTCTTTCTCTCTCTTGAAAATCAACAAATATGTTTATTTTATTTTATTTTTTTAAATATATTTTATTGATATTTCACAGAGAGGAGGAAGGGAGAGAGATAGAGAGCTAGAAACGTCGATGAGAGAGAAACATCATCCAGCTGCCTCTTGCACACCCCCTACTGGGGATGTGCCCGCAACCAATGTACATGCCCTTGACCGGAATCGAACCTGGGACCTTTCAGTCCGCAGACTGATGCTCTACCACTGAGCCAAACCGGCTTCGGCAACAAATATGTTTAAAAAAATGTCAGAGGATAACAATGAAAAAAAAATTAGTAATAGCACTGAGTTCTCTTCATGGGCAAGACATTGTTGAGGAGTTTTTTTTTAATTTTTTTTATGAGAAGGCAGATGGCATTAGATTGAAGGAAAAATCACAGTCAGAAGGACATGCTGCAAAACGTGATAGCAGCTGTGGGTGTTCTAGGCTCTGGAGAGAAGAGCAGCAGCAAGAAGGGCTCTGGGGCAATTGACCCACACAGTGACTGGCTGGGGTGTGGCAGGAGGAGCAGCCTTTCCTTCCCACTTCCTTCCCATGGGAGTGTCTGACCGCTGGGGGAGAAGGAGGGAGCCCATGGGGGTCTTGGGCTCCAGAAACAGAGCATGACCCCAGGAGCTGGCTATCAGGAGGGAGTAGAGAGTCCTCTCTCCTCTCTCCCCCTACCCCCTGCAAGGAGACCTGCTACTGGTAGACTCCTGTCCCTGCTCTACCTCCTGCTTCTCTTTATCACTAGAGCTAGCAACCCATCAGATTCTCTTCTGCAAAGAATGGACCAGAAAGAAAGGGAATGTCACCAGTCAGAGAGAGAGAGAGAGAGAGAGAGAGAGAGAGAGAGAGAGAGAGAGAGAGAGAGAGAAAGAGAGGAGACTGAGAGAAACAATGACCTTCTAGTTCCTTTGGATATCATGCCCTGGCTGGAAGTGGTCTCATGAGGCTTCCCTCTCTTTGTACCATAAATTTCTCTTTTTTAAAAATGTTATTTTTCAATTACAGTTGACATTCGATATTATATTAGTTCCAGGTATACAGTAGAGTGGTTAAACAATTATATAATTTACAAAGTGATTCCCCTGAGAATTCAAGCACCCACCTGGCACCATACATAGTTTTCACAATGTCACTGACTGTATTCCCTAGGCTGTGTTTTACACGCTCCCCCAGACTCCTCCCCTCCCCTGTGACTATTTTGTAACTACCAATTGGTACTTCTCAATTCCTTCCCCCTTTTCATGCAGTCCTCCAACTCCCCTCCCTTCTGGCAAACATCAGTTCAATTTATCTATATAAATTTCCCTTTTCAAAAGCTGAAATGGATGGACTTAATCTCTTTCTTTCAAAAAAAAAAATTCCCCATGAAGACATAATCTACTCAAACTGCAAAGAATACTGTCATTGTTGAACTGTAAGATAGCTCTGCACAGTCTTGCTGTTTGTGTTCTTTCCTCCTCTGAATATCCATAAAATCGTACTCAGGAGTGGTGTCCCTGGGGCTCTATGGGATCACCTGGTACCTTGTTTTGGGGAGTCCCATCCTGACCCTTTCAGTGGCTTTCCTTGACTTGCAGCTAAGCAGCAAGTGAATTTTTTAAGCATATCTATAAATGAATGAACAGATACTAAAAATATTTGTTGTTTGCCCGAGTTTCAACTTTAATTGGGCATCCTGTATTTGTATTTGTTAAATCTGACACCTAATCCTGACTTTCAGTCACCACCAGGGCTAACACCAGGGCTAACAGGTAACTCTTTTTTTTTTTTTTTTTTTTTTGTCCTTATCACACCACGACCCTTTGTTTACTAGACTCTGAAGGCAAGGATTATGTCTTATTTTCTTCTGAATCTCTACAGTCTAACACAGTGCCTAGCACAAATGTCTTTTTTTTTAAAATAAAAAAAATGGCCTTGGATATGTACTTGTAGGGAAGCCTAAGATGAGAGAAGATTCTTAAGCCACATTTGCAAAGTCGGTTGAGGCCCTGAGTCAATAGGTTTTTTGGGATTAGAGGGGGCAGTCACATACAGGGTGGGTTCTGTGGTATGACCATCCTAACAGACCCGTACCCAGAGCTTACAATGAAAACCTGTCTGAAATGAATGTGAACGGTACCTTGCAGATGTCACTCCATTGCCCAGGACCACTGTCATTGATGGCTCTGACTTTAAACAGATACTCGGTGTTGGGGGTCAGGTTGTGCAGCTCCAGACTCTGCTGCGTGATGTTCCGGATTTGTCCACAGAGCTCTGTCCGCACATTGTTTGGAGGAGAGCTAATGACTTCATAGAATTCCATCTCAAAAGAGTCCACGTCTTCTGTTGGGCATGTCCAGTAAACCTGTGAAGAAATGAACATGTGGGTGTGGTCCTAGCACATACCGTTCAGCTTTCTTTCCCCTAAAGATTTGTGTCATTGACTAGCTGTCAATGGGGGAGTTTAAGCTGACCCCACTCCTCTAGCTGCTGACTTGGAATTAGACCTTGTGCAGCAGTGTTGAATGGCTGTGTTATGAAGCCTGACTGAAGCCTGTGATGTGTTTCAAGAACAGAAAGATATTCTTCTGAGTTCTGTTCCTGTCAGTCATCATGGAAGTGGCTGTAGTCCTCCTAACACCACCAATCAGAGTACTAGAAGCTAACATTTATTTCACACCCATCATGCATCAGATTGTGTCAGACATTCTTAACTTAGTACTTCGTCCTCACAAACCTCTGGGAGACTTTAATATCCCACTTTACAGTTGAGGCTCAGAAACATTACTTTTAGCAAATTCCAAAGGAAGCACAGAATCCTAGAAAATGTATATATATTCCAACCCTCTATTTTATATACCAAAAATACATAGAGTCCCACAGAGGTGAACTAACTTATTTAAGCAATGGAGGATATATATATTCATACTCAGAGCATGAAATATTAACCCTTGGAAAGAGATATATTAACAAGTGTCAATTAGCAGATTATACCTGGCATATACATATTTTATAATAATTGTTTCTTTTAGTAGATACGCTTTACTTACATTTTAATAAATGTTACAATATTTATAAAATTAATTTATAATGACTCTTAAAAACAACAACACGCAGACATTTATTTCTCACAGATCTAGAGACTAAAAGTCCAAGATGCAGGCACCTGCAGATTCAGTGCTTCCCCGAAAATAAGACATCCTCTGAAAATAAGACCTAGCGCATGGAAAAATAAGACATCCCCTGAAAATAAGACCTAGCACATCTTTGGGAGCAAATATTAATATAAGACACTGTCTTATTTTCGAGGAAACAGGGTATTTCCAGGGTCATAGACAACTTTTCTCTCCTTGTGTCCTCACATGGCACAGGGGGCAAGAGTCTCTCTCTCTCTCTCTCTCTCTTTTTAAAATATATTTTATTTATTTATTTTTTTTTACAGAGAGGAAGGGAGAGAGATAGAGATCCAGAAACGTCAATGAGAGAGAAACATCGACCAGCCGCCTCATGCACACCCCCCACCGGGGATGTGCCCGCAACCAATGTACATGCCCCTGACCGGAATCGAACCTAGGACCTTTCAGTCTGCAGACCGACGCTCTACCACTGAGCCAAACCGAATTTGGCATGGAATTTTTAATTTATTCATTTACAAACTTTTATTAAATTTATTGGGGTGACCTTGATTAATAAAGTTATACAGCTCTCAGGTATACAATTCTATAACACATCATCTGTATATTGTGTTCAGGAACAGAAACATGCCAAAATGAAGTTTCCTTCCATCACCATTTATTTTCTATCTCTCCCTACCCCTTTCTCTCTGGTAATCACCATACTATCGTCTGTGTCTATGATGGTTTTTTTTTTTATACTTGCTTTTAAAACTTAATGAAAGTTAAGTTATTTTTATGCTTATCAAGATAAATGTACTCACTGTGAAATACTTAGAAAATACAGAAAAGTTGCAAGGGGAGAAAATAAATATTGCATATAATCCCACAATTCAATTAATAATTAATTAGTATTTCTCTCCAATTTTGGAATATATACAAACACAGGAATACATATAATTTGGATTATATTGCTTTGATTCCTGCTTTATATCACTTATTATATATTTCCTTGCTTCATTAAAAATTTAGTAAAGCACCATTTTAATAACTGCCCCACAAATGATTTAGACCTTCTATAGTTGAAATTTAGGTTGTTTCTAAATTTATCCTTTAATAAATAATGGTGTAATAAACATGTTTGGGCATAAATCTTGATCTGAAATTTTAATCATTTACTTGGGACGAATTTCTAGAAGTAAAATTGAGTTTTATAAAAACTCCTTAGGATTTTTAAGGTACATATTGACAAATTATAACTCAAATTTTAAGAATACTTTCTATGCCAAAAGCCTAAAGGGACTGTTAGTCAACCATCATTTGAAAGATTTCATCTTCTGCATTACTGAGCACTATGATTTCTGTGTGAATTCCATTCCATGATCCTAACATCATAGGGATTAAGGATATTTTTCCATCAAATACCACTCTCTTGACAGCTTATGACTTAACTAGGTTTTCTTATGTATGCTCCTTTAAAAAAAAAAAAAAGCCGTGGTGGCAGGACAGAGGCAGAAGTGGTTAGGGACAACAAGGCAGGAGGCAGGCAGGCAAGCAGTTAGGGGCAATCAGGCAGGGAGGCATAGTGGTTAAGGGTGATGAAGCAACAGGAAAAGATGGTGAGGGATGATCAGGCAGGCAGGCAGAGCGGTTAGGGGCAATCAGGTAAGCATGCACAGTGGTTAGGGGCAATCAGGCAGGCAGGCAGGTGAGCAGTCAGGAGCTAGTGGTCCAGGGTTGCAAGAGGGATGTCTGACTGCCAGTTTAGGCCAGATCCTGCAGGGATATATAACTTGTCAATATGTACCTATACTAGCAGTCAGACATCCCCTGAGGAGTCCCAGATTATGAGAGAGTGCAGGTTGGGCTGAGGGATCCACCCACCATGCATGAATTTCATGCACCAGGCCTCTAGTATGTATGTATGTATGTGTGTTTGTATGTATGTATGTATGAATGTGTATGTATGACCTAATATATATATTAGGCAGGCAGGCAGGAGTGTATATACTAGAGGCCCAGCACATGAAATTCATGCATGAGTATGGTCCCTAGGCCTGGCCTGCAATCAGGGCCATCTTCCCCAGCTGCTGGTAGCTGGCCTCACCCCTGCCGCCACCGACCCCTGGTTCCCCATTTGTAATCAGGCAATTGGAGCCTGCCAGCCTGGGGAAGGGACTGAGAGGTTGGCTGGCAGACTTTGATTAGGCAATCAAGGCCTGAGGACTAGGGATAGCTCCTGCATTGAGTGTCTACCCTCTGGTTGTCAGTGTGCATCATAGTGACTGGTCATTCCACCATTCCATCAACTTGCATATTACCCTTTTATTATATAATGTGTGTGTGTGTGTGTGTGTGTGTGTGTGTGTGTGCATGTGTGCATGTATAAATTTAGAGAGAAAGAGAGAGATAAACATCGATTAGAGAGAACCATTGACCAGCTGTCTCCTGCACATGCCTTACGGGGCATCAAGCCCACAACCTGGGCTAGTGACCTATCAGTGCATAGGACAACCCTGAACCAACTGAACCGCATTGGCCAGGTTAGGCTTCTTTCTTGAACTCATTCAGGGGCCACTAATAGGTGGCATGGAGTGACTGACTGTTCTCTTAAGCCCAAGCAGAGAGCAGCCATCACCAGTCCTTTCCTTCTGGGGCAAGAACCTGCCAACCTCCCGAGAGGTCTGAGTTGTGTGGGGATGAGACCTAATGTCATCCCTGAGCTAATGCCATGTACACTGCAGACCTGGCTGATCTAGTCCCATTTGGAAATGTAGGTTTAGCTGCTCACTTGTATCTCTATGTATACTCACTTGTATGCTCACTCGTATTTCTCTAAGCAGAAATACTTGGCTTTGTCTGATGGCTTATGGGAGGGTACGCTCCATGTTGCAGCATAAAATCATTCTTAGTATCAATTATGGACTCCAAAACATAGATTATGAGGCCTCAGGAGAGAGGAAAAGGAAATCTTGGCTTGTATCTGGCTTTCATTTTATTGTTTTAAGGCCCTTATACAAAGTATGGCCTGCAGATCGGCAACAATGGCAACACTTAGATGTTTGTTAGAAATGAGGAATCTCAGGCCCCACTGAGACCCACCGACACAGAACCTGCATTTTAACAAGATGCCCAAGTGCACATTCATATTTGAGCACTCCTACGTTAGACTTCAAGGGTGCTAAACGCATTTGGAAGTGTTCTCAGATTATGGGGGCAAAGGATGAGCTCTGCCCCAGGGAAGCAGGCCATGGGCTGGCTGGCCTTGGAGATGTCTTGTAGGGAATCCTAAGACGAGAGAAGATATGCTCTAACAATATCTAGGTTCATGTTAATCTTTCCCCCCACCTGTCCTGTACTTTAACAGAGTATTCTACAAACAGTTCAATTTAGGTTCAGCTGGGTTTGAAAGGAATTTAACAAGGAAAGGCTATTTGCCTAAGTTAGGCCAAGAGAATCAAGTAGAGGTCATGACCCTGAAGCCAGATGATGGCTGTTGCAGAGTCTGTGAGAAGTCCACCCCTCTGCTCCCCCAAAAAGGTTGAATCTTATAAGAATTGGAATGCCACTGGGGATTATCCTCCAATCTTTCCAAATCATGCCGAGTCTGGGTATTTTCTTTAGGAATGGTGGCAGTTTAGAGGAATTGGAGCTGATAGGTAATGGAACCTGCAGTTCTAATCCAAATTTCTGGCGCTTTCTATTATTACAGGCCTTTCTCTAGGACAGTGGTTGGCAAACTGCGGCTCGCGAGCCACATACGGCTCTTTGGCTCTTTGAGTTTTTAGCAAAGGCCAGCTTAAGAGTACCCTAATTAAATTAATAACAATGTACCTACCTATCAATATATAGTTTAAGTTTAAAAAATTTGGCTCTCAAAAGAAATTTCAATATATATTTTAATGATTTTTTACAGAGAGGAAGAGAGAGGGATAGAGAGTTAGAAACATCGATGAGAGAGAATCATCCATCAGCTGCCTCTTGCACACCCCCTACTGGGGATGTACCCGCAACCAAGGTACATGCCCTTGACCGGAATCAAACCCGGGACCTTTCAGTCTGCAGACTGATGCTCTATCCACTGAGCCAAACCAGTTTCGGCTCAATCATTGCAGTATTGATATTTGGTTCTGTTGACTAATGCGTTTGCCAACCATTGCTCTAGGAAATATACTTTCCAAGCAGCTGTTCAAATTATTTTGCTGCTGGCCTTTGGGTTCTCTTTCAATAGAGAAGCTGCCGTTGAAGTGGGATTTGGGCTTTCAGATATATTTCTCACTATGAATGAATTACATTGTATGCTTGAAGCCAGTCTTGGGCTGCTTAGATTTCTTATCCCTCTCCAATGAGCTGACCACCAAGAGTCCAGAGGTGTCAATTTGAAGTGACCAGACCCCAGAGGTCAAAGCAGTAATGGCTACCCATGTCCTTTCCACACCCACACCCTCCTCTCACCTTCCCCGCAGAGCCCAGAGCTTTTCTCTCACCTTGGCAGCTGTTGGATACACCAGAGTCTGGTAGATAACAATCGGGCCTGGGGTCTTCACAGGGGTGTCCTTGACCGCGTACCCATTGTGGAAGCTGCCGCTGTTGTGCAGAGATTGGTTTTCAGCCTCCGCACTCCAGTAGGTGTAGAGGCCATCGGTGGTTTTGGGAGAGGTGGTGGACTGCGTGCGCCCATAGGACTCCAGACCCACCTTGACCTTCTCTCCCCCAGCGGCGGTGGTTTTAAAGGACAGTAAGGAGGAGCTTCGCTGGTATAGCTGCTGGTTGCCCAAGCTGTGGGTGCTGAACGTGACCTTCCTGGAAATCATCATTTCTGAGTGTGTGGGGTAAGGGGAGGTTACGGAATCCCCCGAGGAGCACACCTTCTTGGGTCCTTGGGGGAAGAGCTCATGGATGGCAGTGGAGAGCTCAGCAAAGTCCAAGGGCAGGCAGTTCACGGAGTGTAGCCGGAGCTGCGGGTCGGGCCTGTAGGTGCTCTGGATGCCGTCCTCAATCTGCTCCACCAGAATCTTGGCGGACTGCAGGAACGCCACTTGGCCCGTCTCCTTGAGAGCTTCCTTGGAGTAGGCGATCAGGCCGTCCATTTCGTTCACTTTCATGGATGTGACGTACACGTACTTTTCGATCTCCTTCTGCCTGGACCCTTCCAGATTCTCGACCTGCTCCATGATCATTTTCTCCTTCTCCTGCAGGATGCTGCGTAGCTTGAGAAATCCATTTCTGATCTCTTTTCGCTTCGCCTCCTTGTCCGCTTTAAAGCTGCCTTTTAAAATGTTGAATTCCATAAGGTCATTGTCAATTTCATATCGGACTGGAAAACAACCAAGTTAGTCACTTCAGTTAAAGTGTCCATCTCCCCGATGTCAAAGCTTGTAGCACAGTGGTTCTCAGCCTTTCTAATGCCCCGACCCTTTAATACAGTTCCTCAGATGGTGGGGACCCCCAACCATAAAATTATTTTCGTTGCTACTTCATAGCTATAGCACCGGTACTCAACCTGTCGCGACCCACAGGTTGAGAACCATTAGCAGGGTTGCCTAAGACCGTGGGAAAACACAGATATGTACATTATGATTCCTTAACAGTAGCGAAAGTACAGTTATGAAGTAGCAACAAAAATAATTTTATGGTTGGACATCACCATAACCTGAGGAACTGTATTAAAGGGTCGTGGCATTAGAAAGGTTGAGAACCACGGTTAAGGGTGTAGTAAACTGGAGCAAATTACCTTGGACTCCAAGGCAGTGGGTGGGGTGGCAGGGAAGGCACTTGTAGCTGGGCTGAAACACACCAGAACGCATTTCATAAAAGGATTTATAAAGTGCTCTTGGCCTCCCTCAGTATACTCCTCTCTTCCTCATTCTCTAATACTTCCCTCAGATGTCACAATCACAAGTCTATCTTATAGCAGTAATCTCGGTGGCCTTGAGTCTGAAGTTGGAACTTCAAGGCCACCCTTGCTACTAATTTTTCACCAGACTTTACTTGTCAGCAAATTGGGCTTGAGAAGATGTGACATCACAAAGTGACTGGTGTTCCCTGTGTGAAGGCTAGGCTTTTGCAGGGGTAAGAGAAAGGACTACATTTCTGGTGCCTACTTCTAAAGGTTGCCCTGCCTCATTCACCAAAAAATGCAACGCTAGATAACAGGGCTGCTCTTTCACACACCTTTTTTCTCTGCTGGGGGTCTCTACTCTCTCTCGGATTCAGCTGGGCTCCCTCTCTTGCCTTTCCCCCACTTCCTTTCCATAAAGGGTCTGCTGTTACACTTTCAGGAGAACCCAGTTCACCCTGCATCCTCGTACATGGTATTTGGATTTTAAGCCCACTTAGTCATTCAACAAACACTGACTGGACACCCAGTCCATGGCACATGCCTTCCTAGGCATTAAAAGTATAGATATGCACACATGAGGACATGGATGTGCAGGGCACTCATAAAGCCAATGATACTGCAGCCCAGGAGGGCATGTAGCATGTCTCTACCTGTGAAATGGGCATCTTTGCTAGCTTCCCAGGGACTTGAGCAGTAGGTAGCGACTTGAAGACACATGGCCTATTACAAAGTAAGTCCCTTCCCTTGAAGGACCACTTCTGCAGTGAGTCGATGAGCTGCACTCCTCACCAAATTTTACTCAGGAGTGGGGTGATAAGTCTTTTTTGCACTTAGCTCTTAGCATGGTCATGGACCTTTGTAGGTGGTGATCATTATCACACGATATGCATTTGAGTAAGAGACACCCTGGAGTTCTGTCAGACCATGAGGACAGGGCACATGGCTGTCTTGGTTACAACTGTGTCCAAGATGTGTAGAGATGCTTGAAAGGTATTGGCTGAGTGAAACCCATTGTGTCCCATGTTCTAACATTGTGTGTGTGTGTGTGTGTGTGTGTGTGTGTGTGTGTGTGTAGGGAGAGGATATCAGCACTGTTACCCTCTGGCCTACTTCTGGAAGTCCCCATTTTCTTTGCCCACCTTCTGCCTCACCCTGGACCAGAAAGAAGGAGGTGGTGAAGCAGATGGGGGCTGAAGAGGAAACCATCAGGGTGGGCTGGCAGGGTGCCGAGAAATGCCCCCTGCCCTCCCCAGTGCAAGCCCTTCTGTGACTTATGGCAACTGAAATTCCGCTTTACGCATTAATTTATTTAACTATTCAATACTTTCTTTTTTTTTAAAAATATATTTTATTGATTTTTACAGAGAGGAAGGGAGAGAGACAGAGAGCTAGAAACGTCAATGAGAGAGAACATCGACCAGCTGCCTCTTGCACACCCCCTACTAGGGATGTGCCCGCAACCAACGTACATGCCCCTCACTGGAATCGAACCCGGGACCTTTCAGTCCGCAGACCGACGCTCTACCACTGAGCCAAACCAATTTCGGCTATTCAATACTTTCTCACTGTCAATGATACCTGGCACTTCTTGCTTGATTAGGGATTAGTGAAGCTTAAGTAGAGCTACGTCCCGAGAGACAGGATAAAAATTTCATTGAGGAGGGGAAAGAGGCAGCGCCAGGAGAGGAGGAAGGAGGAGGCCAGAAGCACCCCTCCCCCTTACAAATGTGACAGCTGTGCAAGAGCTGGTCTTAGGGAAAAGTCCAGTCAAGGTCTCTTTCAGGCAGTATACCTAAATGTAGCTATTATTTTAAATAAAACATTTTTATGTGCCAGATCCACACAATATACAAATGAGGCATCATATCCACATATGATGATATATTACACATCTTTCTACCAGGAAGATATTGTTCCCACTTACAGATGAGGACACGAGGGCTCAGGGAGGTTAAGTGACTGTCCATGTCACACAGCGGGGAAATGGGAGGAAGGACGGCCTGTCCCTAACGTTTGTCTAACTCCAAAGTCTGTGCTTCCCGTTGCTCCAGCTATGGTTCTCAGCCTTCTGTGGGCGCCAGAACCACCTGGGGAACTGTAACAACCACTCTGCTCTGGGCCTCGCCTGCTGAGATTCTGAAGTGGCTTAAGGTGGGACTCAGGAATTCAGGGGAGGACGTTTGCAGCTAGGTTTTGAACAAATACAGGGAATCTCCTGGGGATCCTGATAAGAATGCAGATTCCCATGTCGATGGGATGGGTTGATGTCTCCCCAGCTCCCGAGACACGCTACTGCTGCTGGTCCTAGTTATCGATAGTAAGGCTCCCCGGGCAGTGCAGTGTGTAGCGGGGGTGACACCACAGCTTCAGACACTCAACTTCTCTCCAGGGCCCAGAGTTTCTCAAATGGTGTCCTCGGATCACTGGCTTTTGAATTACCTGGAGATCTGTTTAAAATGTCTAATTATGGCATCTCCCCAGGAAGGGAATCGAGTCCTTAAGAATAAGTTTGAGCCGAAACCAGTTTGGCTCAGCGGTAGAGCATCAGTCTGTGGACTGAAGAGTCCCAGGTTCTATTCCGGTCAAGGACATGTACATTGGTTGCAGGCACATCCCTAGTAGGGGACGTGCAAGAGGCTGCTGGTCGGTGATTCTCTCTTATCGACGTTTCTAGCTCTCTCTCTCTCCCTTCCTCTCTGTAAAAATCAATAAAATATATTTAAAAGAAAAAAGAACAAGTTTGAATCCTAGTGACAAAACACCTTAGAAAGGCTCAGAGAATTTCAGGACACCACAGAATCAAACCCTCCATTTTTCAAGGGGGAAAACAGGACCCAAGGTCACCAAGGTTATATCTAGGATTATAGAATCTTTATGGATTTCTGTGTGTCGTATTGTTTTTTTTCCTCCTCTTTCTTCCCTGCCCCTTCCTTCCTTCCTTCCTTCCTTCCTCCTTTTTCCTTTAAAGATTTTTTTAAAAAAATTAAATCCTCATAATCACACCTTGAGGGAGGTCTTACTATTTATCCCTATTCTATAGATGAGAAAACCAAGGCACAGGAAGGTTAACTGGCTGGCGGTAGTTGCCAGGGATGGGCGCCAAGCCAATGGCACGCAGCCCGGTTCAGTGCCATCCTGGAGGGGAGAGGGAAGGGGACCAGAACCTGCTTTGAACTTGGCGATGGCGCTGAAGAGTGCGGCAGACCTCTCGGAGCAGGCATCGAGGAGGCTGATGGTGTCGTGGCCGTTGTGCAAGGAGGCCTTGCAGAAGTTGCAGAGCAGCTGGTCGTCGTTGCGGCAGTACTCGATGATGCGGCTGGACGGGTGATGGATGCAGATCATCTCGTCCTGGTCGTCGGTGCAGGTGTCCACGAAGACGTGGTCCTGCATGGCCACGTCCGAGTGGAAGCTCTTGAGGCAATCGTTGCACAGGTTGAGGCGGCAGGTGGTGCAGCGCTTGTAGGCGATGCGCCGGCTGCGGCAGACCTGGCAGTGGATGGGCCCCGAGGAGCGGTCAAAGCGCCACTTGAGGAAGCCCTGCTCCTGCATGTAGCGCTTGGTGAGGCGGCCGTGCAGGTAGTTCTCGGGCAGCTGCATCTTGTGGCTGTAGGGCATGCAGTGCGAGCGGCTGCACACCGGGCAGACGACGATGAAGAAGTTCTCTGTGACCTCCGCATGCTTCTGCAGCTGCCGCAGGCACTTCTCGCACAGGCTGTGGTTGCAGGGCAGCATGAAGGAGTGCAGGCGCAGCCGGTTGCACATGGGACACAGGAGATGGTCGATCAGGTGGCCCTTCCCCGACCCGACCACCTTCGTCTCTTCCACCTGGGTATCGCTGCTCCCGACGCGTAGCGCGGTTTTGGAGCTGAAAGGAGAAGCAAACACACGGAGGAAGGGCTTCAGGCTGCGGGCTCCTGGGTCTAGGAAGTGGCGGAGGCAGGCCCATGGGGGTGGCGAGGAGCATGGGCTCAGTGTCAGGCTGTCAGGGTTCTAAACCTGCCTCCCACTGTGTTTAAGGGGGGTGATCTCCGAAAAGTCAATGAACCTGCCTCTGCCTGTTTTACTCATGATAAAATGAGTACCCACGAGAGGGTTTCTGGAGGGTTCCCATTGGATTGGATTACCTGCAAGACCCGAGAGAAGCCCTGAACGCAGGAAGAACTTGTTCATGTTGAGCAAGAGAAAAGCCTTGGAAACTGGCCTGGCAGTACCAGCCCACTCCGACATTCTGTGGTTATAACAATACCTCAGAACACCAGCACCAGGCAAGGCCATGCTGGGATGCTGGTGAAACAAAGCACACACAAGACCACGCCATCATCTTTGAATTCGGACAAAAGCGAGAACATGAGCCAAAACCACACAAGTACCCAACATCCCCTCCCCTGGTTAAGGGGAGGGACCGCTGCTTTTTCACCAGTCGCAGCCTGAGGTTCTCTCTGTTCTTCCCACCTTCTAGACGAGATTTATTATACACCCGACAGCAGATTCATCCCTGCACCCTCACTTTACATGGATCTGTCATAACTTATTGAGACACCTCACCCTTAACCATGGGGCATGTTCTCACTGGTTCCCATGAGGCAATGAACCCAGGGCTGTCCAACTGCAGGTGCGTTGTTGGTGGGCTTTGCCTGGAGGGCACTGGCATCGTTGTGATTGTGTAGGATGGAACACAAAGAGGATGGGGAGAGTGTCCTTCCCAGGAGACCCGGAGGTCAGTGTTTGAGCGAAGCCTAAAATCTGGTGTCTCACCACTAGGCAAGTAAGAATTAAGGATCTGGGCGGATTGCACGTGACAGAATGCACTAGAGCAGAGGTAGGTCTTTGAGATGAGTTTCTTAACCTCTTTCATTCTCAGTCTCCTCATCTCTAAATGGAGGCTCACAGTGCTACTTCTTTTGTCAGAATTTTACAAAGTCTGCATGAGCTAATCCATGGTAAGTGCTTAACTGCTGGTACCTACTAAACAACATTCCACCGACATGGCTACTGCAATTACTACCCTCTGGTGCTAACCAGCCGATGTCCACGGCAGAGAAAAGCAATGAGCAAGACCGTGAAAGTGTGTGTGTGTGTGTGTGTGTGTGTGTGTGTGTGTCTTTTATTTGTGTAATATCTGAGGCTGATTGCATGTATTATAAGAATTCTGGACAAAGTAAAAGCTTACTTGTAAAATTCAAGTGCCAATTGGAGAAAAGCACTTTTTGAATTCGCTGTGGAGACGGTGGTATCAGGAGATACACAATTTGTGACCGTTTCTATTTCTTTTCCTCTGTTTACATTAGAGATGTTTGGGTATTGATCCTGACATTGTGTGTTCTCTTCTGCTTTGGCCTTCTTGTCGTCCCTCTAAGCCCCGAGGTCCTTCCCCATTCCCTCAGCCAGGGACCTATATCTCAGATCCCAGACAATCAAAGTTGCAAGTCAAGTGTTCGATGGTGACAGAGAGTGCCCCTTGTGGACACTCAGGCACCTGGAAAGCTCATCTCTTAGGATTTGGATGCTGGGCTCCAGGCATGCAGGCCTCAACAGTCTGTCATGTTCCCTCTCTGCCTTCCCAGCCTCCTGCCTGAGTCCCAAAGGGGTCGGTCACCTGGAGAAACAGTTCCATTGTCCACCTGTTAGCTGGATGTACCTCTCTGATTTGATAAGGTGGCTCTGAGAATCAAGATGTAACATAAAGGGAGACAGCATTACAATCAGAAAGAAGGAAGGGAAGGTGTTGCTGGGGTGAGAGGAAAGAGAAAGGAGTTAAGAGACTGGTGGTAAATGGTCCAGGGAGCTGGGGTGGAGTTGAAACAGGAATGAGTAAGTCAGAGAGGGATGGATGAACCAGAATAGGGTGAGATAAGCAAGATGCTGAGTAGTAAGTAGTGGCGAGGGACAGGGAGACGGTGGTTCAGAAACCAAGAAAGAGGCCAGATAGAAGACAAACCTCCTTGCACCAAGAGCCGATCTTCCTGACACTTGTAATAGCAACTCTGACCATCTTCTGAAAGCCTCGGGCATAGACCTGGGCATTCAGGAGCAGGGACCTCGTGCCCATACCATCATCTAGCCCAGCAGTCTTACCCTTCTGGTTGAGACCCCTCTGCTCCTCGGCATGGCTTTCTCCCTCTCCCAAATTCAGGCCTGTTCTTGCACCTGGGTTCTCTTTGTATCCCCTGTAAAGTCTCCTGACTTCCCTCCTTATACCATCCAGGCCCTTCTGCATTGTAGAATCATTAGGATTTGATTAGGGGGTGGAGTGGGAACGTATACAATTCTGATGCCCAGGTGGTACTCCTGACCAATAAAATCAGAATGTCCTGGGATGGGGCCAGGCATCACTATTTTATGAAAAGATTCCTAGGGATTCCAGTGCAAAGCAAAGTTTGGGAGCTATTGACCTAAGGCATCTTCCCAAAGCACCCAGGTCATCCCTCCTCTGTTGAAATGGGTCCTGGGCCTCCCCTGGCTGGTGCACAGAAAATGGGGCAGTTGAGAGGAGAGTGTGGTCTGGACACTTCACCTTAGAACTTCTGCACCCCCATTTCTGGGTTTGTTATTCATGCAAGGACCATAGTAAGAGGTCCACAAGCAGAGAGTAACGTTTATTAACCATCTACTAAGTGCTTACATGCAAGATGGCTCATATTCACCCCAAATTCACTGAACCTTTGCTCACAGATGTGCTTTTCTGACCTTATAAGGTTTCAAACCTGCTTCTCCAAATCCTCTCACAGCCCCAAACTTCGAACTTATGCCTCTAAGAAGTCTGTCTCTGGCACTCCAGACTCCCTTCATGTGTGACATAAAAAGACTGGTTTGGTTGGAGCAAAAAGAAGATAATCAATGCCTGATACAGAGGCTTAGTGTTTCCAAAGAGTGATTGCAACCCTCAGTGGCATGCCCTCTGATGGGAACAAAGAGAAGGCTGGCGGGAATACACCACTGCCTGGGCCTGTGAAAGGGATTGCTTTTCCAATAAGCATTGCAGATGCCGAGAGTTCGGAGGAGGAAGAGGAAGAGCAATTTATATTTGTATGTCACATGACAGGTTATGAAGCACATACATTCATCCTCATGCCCATGAATCATGGCATGTATTCTCTCTGTTTTACAGTCGTGCATTTTCAATTTAAGAATACATGGACACTGGGTTCAAATCCTGAGGGCATCCGGCTGGCTGTATGATCCCGGGCAACTCACCCTCTCAGAGGCTCGCTTTCCTCAGACTTCTTAGAGGCATGAGGTAGGGTGAGCACAGGACGGGTGTTATGTTGGGTCACACAGGCAGTGCCTGGCAAGCTGCTTACGCACGGAGTTCTAGCTGTTCCTGTTTTGCACAGCTGAGAGCCTGGTGCTCAGGCACACGACGGTGGAGCGTGGATTTGAAACTCAAGTCCTATATGTGGTCAAGAGCTGTCTAGGACACACTGAATTTGATAAATTTCTTGGAATCCTTCTTTCAGAGAGAGAAATGGACTTGGGGCAGGGGCGCTGGCCTGCCCTGTGGACTCCACAGCCAGCAGGATCCCCCCGTTTTCCTAGCCCGTGTGGCTCACCTGGGGTGCCCAGCACTTACGAAATGTGGATGACCCTGAGGCGGCCCTTCCGGAACGTGACGGTGGCCTGGCGGCAGCAGCGGCTCTCATAGTAATGGAATTTGACGTTGCTGTTGGCCGTGCAGCAGTACTTGCAGTTGGGGTCATTGGCCCAAGAGCAGCAGCACCAGTGGCAATTGGGGTTCTCGGCACAAGTGAAGTGGCAGCACTGGCAGTTCCGCTCGTCCTTGTAAGGGCAGGGGAAGCAGGTGCAGTTCCGCTCGGAGGTGAAGAGGAACTTGCAGCACAGACAGGAGCATAAGCGAGGACAGCACCTCTGCCACGTGCAGCAGGGAGAGCAGACACACATAGCCGTCTCCATGGCTCCTGTAGTATTCTCACCCGCCCTCCTCTACCGGAATCCTGCTGTCAGCTCTCCCGGGATGGGCTCCTCCTCCCCCTTGGAGGTTGCAAGAGGTTGGTTGGCTGTGATGAGGACTTCTCAGGCATATCCCTACTTAGGAAGCTCCTGAGCTGGCATTTACATATATCAGCCTGAGGCCATTTGCTGATGTCACAATCCCTGTCTCCCCACCATGTCTTCCCTGCTGGGTGGGCGAGAGGCTGAGATCTGTGGGTTAGGAGCAGGTGGGCTGATGGATACTCCCTGTTCCCATAGGACCAGCTCCAAGGAGAGTGAAGGCATGGAGCATCCTGGAGGGGTAGCTGTCATCTTTCGAGTTATGAGGTGGATTTCGGAAGCTATTTCTCTCTCCGTGCAACTTGGGCAAGTTGATTTTAGGATATGTCTTTATAGGCTGAAAGGCTTGGGTATGATTAATTGGAAAAGTAGGCTGGTGTGATGGTCTTCTCCTTGGGTGTTTTCTGCTTTGATAGAACTCTTTACTGGATGAACAAAGCACAGTGTTTATATATAATGGCGCCGCCCATTGAAAGGGAGTTGCCCCTTGGAAAAAGAATGAAAGGGAAAGAAGGTGTAGGCTCAGTGAGGCACTTCCTTCAGTCCTCATTGGGGTTGTCATTTGCCGCACAGTCACTGCTGATTTCCATGAGGCTTCGTGCATAAATCGCTCTAGATATTTCTTGGCTTCTTTGCAGCTTCATGGGATTTAGCTAAAGCTCAAGCTGCTCCCCACCCCCCCTATTCCTACGCCTCGGGCATCTCTTTTATAAGAGGTAGAATTTTATATGTGAATCTTTAACTCGTCTGTTAGTATACTAGTATGCTCTGTATCTCTAGAAATGACCTCATATGTTAGGGGAGAACTTTCCATTTTATGCAGCTGGTAAAGTTTAAAGGAGCAGAGATTCCATGGTCACACCACCCTGTGGGATAAGCACTGTCTTATTATTTTCCCCAAAAGAAGCAGAAGTGAGAGCTGAATTGGCTGCAGGAGTTAATTGCATAATTTATTGTTTTCCTTATGATTATCATTTTCTAGTAGGATGAACATTCACTGGGTACTAGCCATTGATTTTAGATTCCTATGAATGAAAATCCTGGATCATAGGTTGGATGTTGTATTTCCTTTTTTTTTTTTTTTTTTTGATAAATACTATTAAGTCACTTCCTGAAATGAGTATACCAGTTTATACTGACTCCAACAATGTATAAGAGAGATCTTTGCCCCCTCGTGCTTCCCAGGCTCCATTTAACCTACGCTTCTCTATTCTCCAGGCCAGAGTTTGAGCTTCACTCCTGAATTTATAATACATTTTCATCATTGATCTATGCAAGGCTCCCCTTTGTTTTTTGTTTTGAAAATTTTATTGAGATACAATTTATTTACTATTAAACTCACCATTTTCAATGGAATAGTTCGATGGTTTTAAGTATATGCACAGGACTGTGCAACTAAAACCACTATCAAATTCCAGAACCTTTTCATTACTCCCAAAAGGCACCCTTGTACCCAGTAGCCGTCACTCTCTGGACACCATTAAGCTACTTTCTATATCTATGGGTTTGCTTATTTGGGATTTTTCATATAAATGGAATCCATTATAAATTAATGGACATTTGGGTTGCTTCCACTTTGGGGCCATTATGAGTAATGTTGCTGTGAACATTTGTGTATGAGGTTTTATAGGCCACATCTCTTCAATTCTCCTGAGTACACTAGGAGTAAAGCTGTTGGGCCGTATGGTAATTTTGTTTAACTTTTTGAAGAAATGTCAAACTGTTTGCCAAAGAGCTGCAGCATTTATATTTTTACATTCCCACCAGCCATGTATGACAGTTAGAATTTCTCCACATCCTGATCAGAATTTGTTACTTTTGAAAAAAAAATGTTTTATTGATTTTAGAGAGAGAAGAAGGGAGAGATATATAGAGATAGGAACATCAAGAGAGAAAGAGACATCAATCAGCTACCTCCTGCATGCCCCCTGTTGGAGATCCAGCTGTGCAATCTGGGCATGTGTCCTTCTTTGGAATTGAACCTGGGACCTCTTGGTTCATGGAATGATACTTAACCACTTAGCCACACCGGCTGGGCCTTGTTATTTTTCTTTTAAAATTATTTTTGTTATTGCCATCAGAATGGCTATGAGGTAGGATCTCACTGTGGTTTAGATTTGGGTTTCCCTGATGGCTAATGATATCTGAGAACCTTTTCATGTGCGTATTGTATATTTTCTTTGCAGAAATGTCTATTCAACTCCTGTGTCCATTTTACAATTGAGTTGTCTTTTTTTTCTTTTCTTTTTAAAAAAAATATTTTATTGATATTTTACAGAGAAGGGAGAGAGATAAAGAGCTAGAAACGTCAATGAGAAAGAAACATCGACCAGCTGCCTCTTGCACACCCCCTACCGGGGATGTGCCCACAACCAATGTACATGCCCTTGACCAGAATTGAACCTGGGACCTTTCAGTCCGCAGACCAACGCTCTACCACTGAGCCAAACCGGTTTCGGCAATATAATTGAGTTGTCTTTTTATTGCTGAGCTGTAAGAGTTCTTTGTATAGTAGAGATATCATGCCTTATCAAATACATAATTTGCAAATATTTTTTCCTTTTTGTGGTTTGTAGTTTCACTTTTTTAGATAGTGCCATTGGAAGCCCAAAAGTGTTAATTTTAATGAAGTTTAATTTATCTGTATTTTTGTTATTGTTGCTCACTCTTTTGATGTCATTTCAGAAATATCTGCCTAACTCAAAATCAGGAGATTTATACCTATTCTTTATAGTTTGAGCAAATTCCAGTACACTTACTGGTAGATCAAAGATTTTGAATTAATGTTTATATTTGATGTGAGAAAGTAGGTGTATGGTTTATTACTGGACTCTATTCCTTTGATCTTTAAGTCTGTCCTTATGCCAATCATACTTTTTTGGTTACTACAGCTTTGTAGTAAGTTTTGAAATGGGAAGAGTGTTTTCTATGACAAATGGGATAGGCACAAGACTCAGGGCTCACGGCTGGTGAGCGCAGCTGCAGCAGTGCGAGCCTCTCCAGATCAGGACTGACTGGGTGTGAGCCAGCGGCAGGTGCAGCGGGGCTGGGATCAGCAGGAGTGGCAGACAGGAGCGGCAGGCAGTGTTGGACTGCCGGTTTTGGCCCAATCCCTGCAGGCCATACTGAGGGACCCCACCGTGCACAAATTTGTGTACTAGGCCTCTAATGTTTAACAGTTTAACAAAGTGAGGAAAACCAAACAATGTTATGTACAAAAAAAAAAAAAAAAAATCGAATCCATTATTCATACCCAGATAGATTCTGAATGGATCAGACATTTAAATATGGTAAAAGATAAAAATCACACAAGTAATAGTAGAAAACATATTTAATTGCTTTATAACCTGGGTGTGAGGAAAACCTAATTATGACAAAATGCAAAAGCAATAATGAAAATGATTGATCATTTTGATTGCATGAATACAACATTTTTGAAGGGCTGAACACACAACACAAAACAAACAAACAAAAAAGAAACAAAAACCCCACAAAAATAGCAAACCCACCAAACTACTAACAAAGTAAAAAGACAAATGACAAATGGGAAAAAAATGTATAACCTATGTTAAAGGCAAACATTTGCTATCCTTAACATCTAAAGAGCTTCTAGAAATTTTAGATGGGGAAAAAAAATCAAGTTTTCTGAAGAAAAATGAACCAAAAATATGAAGTTTATAGGAAAAAACGTCACCAGCCTTTAATCGTGTATAAAGTTGCTTACTTTTGTTTATAGTAAGTGACGTGCAAAATTAACGTGCACAGATACCATGTTTCATCCACCAGAATACCCCAACTCCCGCAAATTGAGAATGAGTCATTGGCAAAGCTCTAGAGGTACATTTCACAAAACTGAGCAGATCCCCTCTGGCTCCAGTTTACTCAGCTTTGCTAGAGGATAGAGGACAGAAAGGACAGCAAGCCAGCGGGGCAGGGGCAGGTGTGAAGGGACGAGGCCATACGAGTGGAACGGTGATGCTGTGGTACATAGGCCAGGTATCCTTGTTGGGACTGAGAGACTGAGATACTATTTCTCCCATTGCCTGGAGTATTGGCTGCTCACAGTTCACACTTCAATCTTTCTCTGGGAATTGCTGTCAGTGTGTGAGTGTAGGGGTGGGGGTGGGAATGGGGGGCACTTGGCCCAATATTATGCCTCTTTTCAGGGTTTTGCTCTGCCTAGACTGGGACAACTTTAAAGGGCCATTCCAGCTACCAAGGAAGTCCCGTGGAGCCGTGCAGGTTCATAGTTGCAACTATATTGTAGTTTAGCTTTTCCCTCTGCACAATCCTGTTTTCTTGACTTTCTAAGATCCCTTCTCATTAAACCTGCTGTGCACTGGTCTCCATTTCATAATCTGCTTCTTGGGGAGAATGGGTATGGGGGCCATTCTGGTTTTTAAGTCCCGTTCCCATGAGCCAGTATGTTTTATTTCATCCCATGGGACTAGCTTTAAGGGGTCCCAGCAAGAGACAGCCAGCTACAAGGATGCACTGCGTTAGGAAAGCTCCAACTATGGATTCCCGCTAGGGTTGACAGTGAAGTCGCAGTTCTCCCAGGCCAGGTGCAGTTGTCTAATTAGAGGTCATTTTTATCATAAGCAATGTTGCCTGGTAATAGACATGACATTCCACCTTTATTATGTTTCCAGGGGAACAGAGCTAGAAAGTTAACCCAAGGTCATTTATCCTTGAAAGAGAAAGAGAATGAGTTTATTAACCCCCAATTCACATTTAAAAACCTACCGGAGTTCATAAAGGCAACACACCAGATACTCCAACAACTCTCATTTAGAGAGGATACTAGGAAACTTGTTATTTTGAAACCTGGTAGGTAAAGGGAAATAATAATGTATCTAGACTTCCTTATACATGGCCTGTGTCTCAGGATAATCAATGAG